AGTTCTTCCTCTCGTATCAGATCCATCTTTGTCCTCTGGGTCTCCTTGATATTAGGGATGTATTGCAGGTGGTGTTCGACCAGACAAAACAAATAAGGATAGGAATAAAGCACGAACCGGGGACGTCTCGACCTTACTGCACGCCTCCCCATTCGGAGCTCGCCTGGTTGGAGGCATGCAGATCGAAAAGCACAAGGCAGTCGTGCGCAGCAAGCCTTCCGGAAGACCAATCACAGCTTCTCAGTTGCGCTGCCTCTGGGCATTTTTTCTTCCTTAAAACACCAATAAGGCTTACTTCAGGACAAGAGTCCAGAAGGATAGAATCGGAAATCCACAGCAGAGCAGTTCTGATTGGAACGAAAAATCAGGGAACAGATTGGATAGCACGTGAAAACCAAGTCAAATGGACTGCTAAGCAGGAAACGGTAGCTATGATGAAAAGGGGCAGTGTTTGCTAACATGCGTGGAGTGTCAAGAAATCGAAGATATAGAGATATTGTATGGCACAGAACCAGCCATATTGAGATAGGTGAACGTTGTGCCAGGCCTGCCCAACGTCAGTCTACGAAGACTGCCAACAAGCACGAAATCGTGACGAGCGATCGCTGACTTGGTAGGAACGAAACTGAGTACCCAGGTAGTTGCAGCCTTGAAGCAGCAATGCGACGTGCCATGGGACGCGCACGTGCTACTACCAGGTGGAGACTAAATCGAGAGACACTTCCAACCCCAGTGGTGAAGCAGGTGAAAGAAACTGTTCCTTGTACATGTAAAGGACAGTCGATAACTTGGTCCTCCTTTAAGGGGTTTTGGTACAGTCCAAGGCTCGGCAGTCTGTCGGATTGCAGTGGCCACCGCCTACTTGAGAACGGACATTCTTGTCATAGGGGGTCTTCCACATCATTCTTTCATTCAGCTCAACGACCTCGTCTGAGATCTGCACGCATTCGCTTCACTTGCGACCCCCCCTCTCGAAATCTGAGTTTGAGACTTTCCCACAAAGAGCAACATGTTCCCATCCAACAACGACCCTAACCAATTGGTCCTCGAAGACGACCATGTTCACCTCATCTACGGGCTTTTGGCAGCCATTTCGCTCACAGACAAGACAGAAAAGCAGAGCCAGGTAATGCACGACATTGCCTCTGAGCTGGAAACCATTCTAGCCCGCCTTCAGCCATCCTATACTCCTGAGGCCCAGCTCAAACCGGGGCCGAAATTCTCGAGTGGCGGGTAGAGGAAATTGATCGAAAAGAGCTCAGAACTGAATTGCGCAACACTCTTAACGCGATCAACAAAGCTTGCAGGGATTTGATCATTACAATTCACTCGCAAAGTACAAAGACGATATGCGACACACAAACACCCGAAAGGGCAAACGAGAAGAATTTGATGAGCTGGAACAGAAGTTTGGCAAACTTGAACAAATCAGGATGAAACTAAAGCTCAGCATTACGGGCGATGATGATGCGCAACAGGTGGTAGACCCGGCCACAACACTCAACCCAAAGGTAGAGCCTTCTGATTCACACTCCATTCCTACAACACTGCCTCGTACCCCAGAAACCTCTGCCGTCCTCGAAGAGCCCTCGTGCTCAGAGGAAGGTGCCCCACAAGATCTGATCGTCCCAAAGTCCGCGACTGGACCAAACACTCTCAGCATCGCACACAGCGGTGAGAGTAGATGGACCTACGCTCACAGGAACGGAGTTTACAAACCAGCTGCCGGACTACCCAGTCCATCAGAGGAAAGGGATCTGGTTTACAATAGATGACCCCAACCGAGGAAGCCATAAGACAGATGGCGGCTCTGTCCTCGACCCATCGCGTGATCCCCGCCTCTATCGAAGTGTTCCAATGAGGTCTGGCAATCGCCATCGTGGCTAGAGTTCCAATTATCTGTTTGTCAAGACAGCCGTGGAAGATTGGCTTAGAGTGCACATGTTGACAGAATGGCGAATGTTCTGTTATTCCAAGTTGTCAGTGTGATCCATCCAAGCCTGGAAATGCGGGTTTGAGGTATGAATGCGCAGGCCGCAGGGCAGCAGAGATTCACAACATGAGATGTGTCCGTAATGCCATCGGAAAATGCGCAAAGTTAGATGGTGACTGATCGACGGACTAACTCAAGAGCCTTACGGCTGATTGCCACACATTCTCGGATGGTGTGAGGATGATCCAGAGATGAATTGATAAATACGGGTACTATCCTAATAAGATTCTTTCTGTCCTTCTAGTGTCCAAAATCGCTGTTACCGCCGACATGCTCGGAGGCTGTAGATCTTCCCCATTGGCCGTCAGCCTTGCTGATCAATTTTCCTGACTTGCTTTACGATGAATCTTCCTCCATCTGGTCTTGCCCTTATGTTTTTTGTGCCTGATTCTGCAACCGAACTTGGTGAATAGCAAACGAAAATGTCATACTTTCGTACTCACTCTAAGAGTATGTGAAGTCGATGAAAGCTCTGGAACTTACCACTGTTGAATGTCACGACTGTCTGATGACTGGGCTCCAAGATCACACCCTTTGAGGCAGCTCCGCCTCAATTGCGCTCATGCATGTGTATCTATCTCGTCTACGCAGTTTATTTCCTTTTCGTACAAATGCTTAACCACAAATCAATATCTTCTGGCCATCTTTCCCCCCCCACAGCCTGCACGCCTCAATCCTCCGTCTCCTTAAACGGCAAGTCACGTCAAGCACAAACCCTTCGTATCCCCTCCACCTTCAAGCCCTGCCTCCAAGCCCATCTGTCAGACCACGGGGTCATTTTGACAATGACTCAAATGAATCAACTATCCCAAGGCTTGGTCGTTGACCTTCTCGCTGCAATCACCCAACGCAACCCCCCAAAGCATGCCTTATCGCCCAGGCAAATCGCGGCACAGCTCTTGACAGCACTCGAGAGCAGCTGGGGGCCTGACACCTTCCAAGAGAAGATGAACGACGCTCGTGCCCGCTTAGAAGTCAAAGCCAAAGCAGCTGAACAGGAGGAAATCCTGGATGGCTTCTTGAAGGCCCTGGACGGCGCGGCCAGTGTAGGCAAGTCTCTCAAGGAAGAGGCCACTGGCCGGCAGCACCAAGACTGCACTGCTACCACAACACCAAAGTGCGAGGCGAACACTCGCAAGAGAAAGCGCGACCTTTGCGATGAGCTGGATCAGAAGGTGGAGGAGCTGAACAGCCTGCGCAAAAAGCTCCGGACTGGGTTCGTCGTGGACGCAGGCGAGGCACCCGCCAGGGATCAGGAAGAGAAGCCTCCAGTGTATGAAGACTCGGCTTTGATGATATCTCAATTCAACGAAGGCTTTGAATACCGCACACCAGGTCCGCATAGCCAAGCAGCGGACCACCACAGCTCACAAGAGCACACCGTCGGCTGTGAGACTCGAGCTATGCGATCCTGTACACAGTGTTCCAGTCCTCATCGTCGCCGTACTCCTTCAACACCACGCCTCTCTGCGAGCCGGGCAATTTTAAGCCCGAGATTGATGTCTCGCTCGACATTTACAAGGCCACGCAAGATCAACGCTACCGCCAAGGATCATGCAGCCGGGTGGGAGCATGTTGATGCCGATGATGAGGACGAGGACGAGGACGAGGACGAGGAGGAAGAAGGCCGTCTTCAACCATACACACCACCCGGTCTGACCTCACGTGGACCCTCAACCTTTCCGACTACGGGCGGCGCCCAAACCCGCCCTTCCAGTGCCAAGCGAGTGCTTCTTCGACGACGGGAGAAAGCCCAACCACAGCTCACGAGGAGATTCATCGCCGAGATGGACCGTCGTCTCGTGTCTTCCGGCGACAAAGCCTCTCGTTCCTCCGGCACGCTACGGGACTCCGAGTGCTGGAATGTTTGTCCTGCAGATGACGAGCTTGACCGTGGATCTGAATACGGCAAGCAAGAACAGACCCAAAGAGCGAGAGCAGCAGCCAATGTCGACGCCACTGTCATCAAACTCGAGCCCGGATGTTGACGAAGACCCAGACGCTGTCGAGAGGAAGGATCCAGCAATGTACACCTCCCTCCGATGACGACAGTGCCGACGACGGCGACGAGACGACTGAGTCTACCATGGAGACCTCCCTTGTCAAGAGGAGTTGATTGCCGGATCGGCATCGAGGGCATGCACGGGGTTGGGGCAGGCCGGCAGGTGGGGCAGATGATGTTGGAAATCCACCGGCCATGTAAGCCATCGGACCAGGGCTATTCGCCGCAAGCGCTCCAAACATAAAGGGAAAGCGCGATTACAGACAATCGACCGTCCTAACTGAGATAGATGGTCTCTAGAGAATGCATGATCTGAGTGAAAGTAGCATACAGCGCCAGTTCACTTGTTCTCGACGATGTACACTAATAGTTGGTCGGAAAACGCCGCGTGAAATGCACCGGGAGGAGCCCTCGGTCGCCCCCTGACGGTGCGCAGCCTTGCGTGTACTTTACCTAGCTAACAGTTCGGTACTCGGAACTTACTCCTGGTTCAACATCTCTAGGCACGTGACCACCTCGCTTCCCAGTCAGCCCGTCCTGTAAAGAAGATCGTGGGGCTGAATGGGGAAAGGCGATTTCTTTTTCAAAGTCTTCTTGGTAGGCATTATGGACTACTACTGCAAAAAAGACGCTAATTAAAAGGTTTGATTACAGGAAAGATGTACTTTGGCATACAACGCGAAGCCAACGAGTACAATTGGGGTGAGGGTTCTCATGGTATCATCAAAAGCACGCTGTGTTGCTCCTACACGTATTTTTCTCAGGGAGTCTCCCCGCTCTCCTCGCGCCATACACTGTTGGTATCAGATCATGCTGTAGCAACCTCCAAGCTCAGTTTGACTCGGTTTGATTCGATAGGCTCGAATGGTCCCCTGGTTTGTGATGCCTCCCCACCATGCTGTACAGTGGGAGTTGCAACGTCCTCAACCCATGGGCGCTAGTAGGCTGGTCACATCGACTACAAATAACACTGTCGCACAGGGACTCATGGCTTCCGAGTATCTCTCAACGGACGATGGCGTGCTTTTCGGCCATCTGGCCCTCCGCGCCAACGATAGGAGAGACCGGGGCGACATCTGCAACTGTCTCGTCGGAGAACTTGAGATCTTCTTCGAGATCAGTGGTATCTTGGACCTTTGTCCAGATGGCTGGAGCTGCCACAATCAAACTCCCAGCCAGAAGACCCCAGTTGCCGGCAAATTGGTTCATGTAGGAGACCTTGTTGGTATCGAGGATAGGCGACAGAGCACCACCAGCGGATTGGATACCCTTGTAGAAGCCTGTGAAGTTTGCCAATTTTCGGCTGTTGTTGGAAAGCGAGCCCATGAGCCTAGAGATATAAATTAGCAGAAGGTTTCGAGGAAAGGAGGTGAGACATACCAGTAGGACGTTGTCTGCCAGACCGAGTCATAGGCCCCGTAGAACATGAACAAGAACATGGGACCGATATAGCCCTTGTCCATGAAGTCAATCTTGACGTAGTCGTCGGCACTGGTTTCCTCTCGGGTGTATTGTTTCTGGAAATCATAGCCGCCTCCCCAGATGACGAAAGTCAAGACGAAGAGGGCAATTACGGCGGCTCTAGCCTTGGTGCTCCGCTTGTATCTCTCCAGGTCGAGGCAAACGCCGAAGATCCAAGCACCAATGATCTGAGAGAGGTAGTACAAAACGCTGTTGAGGGAACGGGTTCGAATGTTGAACATGGGCAGGTTGACGCATTGGAAGTGATAGGTGTAGAACCAGTTGCTGGCAAAGAACATGGGAAACAGCAGGAGGATGTACCAATCTGTGACCAAGACCGACAGCATTCCCTTGAGTTCGGACTTCCAGGTGGGGTTCTTCATCATGATGACTTTGGATCCATCGTCACGGGTGACAAAGCGGGGGTTGCAAAGGAAGCCCGAGAGGACAAAACCAACGGCCATGAGGACGATGAAGCCAACGTATGTTCCATCATTGACCTTGTTTGCCTTGGAATGGATGTTCTGGGCAAGGGGAATCAAGCCGCCAATCACAGCACCAAGATTGAAGATCATCCAAAAGGTGGCGATGTATCGACCCTTGGACTTTTCCGGGGGGTATGCCATCATGACGGCGCCCTGGGCGGTCCACAATAGGCCTGCGCACACGCCGAGGAGGGAGCCGGCAAAGATGAGGAAGCCTGGGTTCTGATTGTGGTTGTAGGACAAGATGGAGGCGATGTAGAGAGCGTAGCCAAAGCCACCCAGACCCATAGTCAAACGCAGACCGATTCTGTTGGCAATACTGCCGGCAAAGAAGCCAACGACGGAGAAGGTGGAATAGATGGCAGTATTGGCGTTGTTGATGTCGTGGGCATTGACTTGACCGGCGGCACCGAGACCATTGACTGCGTTGAACATGCCAGGGCACAAGAAGCACACTATCGATACAAAGAGGATCTGGAACTTCGGGCTGGCATATGCAGGAATTGTAATAGGACCGAGTTTGAAGGATTTGTGCATCCATGGCTTTCCCTCAGACTTCTTGGTGTGGTCAAGGCTCTGCTCGGTGGCATAGTTTGGAGGAGTCTCGGAGCCAGCACCAGAGGTTTTTTCGGTGGCCATCTTTTCGTCGGCAATGTTGGACATTATGCGGAAGTGGAAGGTGCAAAGAGGGAGAGAGGAGGTTGAAAGAGGATGAATTCGAGATTAAGAGGTGAACTTGGATTGGGTGGTGAGATCGCACGTCGCTGGTCGCGGGTCGCAGTTGAGTTGCGACCGACAAGGATGCGTTGCGCGTGCGGAGTGCAGGACAAAAAAGTCGACGAGTGATTGAGGCTCTCCAACCAGAAAGCGGAGACTACCCTGGGTCGAACTTGACAGGCGGCAAGTCTTGGGGCGTTCGGGAGGGTACAGTTAACCGTCGGAGGAGCGTAACCCAGCTGGGTTAGGGGTTAGCTTAACTAAACTTAGTGGGGCCGGGTGCGTGTCTCTGGGGGGCCGTGGGGAGCTCTTGGAGTTGCAGAGGCCTTTGGTTGTCGCGTGCGCTCTGGGGAAAAAGAAAGTGTAAAATCAAATTGAAAGTCGGGGCATGAGGATATAGATGTAGAAGTAGCAATGATTGACAGATGAGAATTGAAGGAGAGCGTCTCGCGGTCACACCAGAAGTACGGTTACAGCTCTCAGTGTCGGTATCAGCAGACAGAGATAGGGATGGAGATGATTAAGTGGTGACATCGGAATCGGCACCATACTCGTACTGTAGCATACAGCCTTCACCTGCTATAGCGACAGCAGCATTGGGGACGAAGGGATGCTTGAGCTCGAGTGTTACGCAAAGGGATGCTAAGTTGTCTAGAGCAGTGACCACGGGCAGGGAGTTACAGGGCGTTCGAGACAGGAGCCAGTGGCAGCCACTGATACAGGCCTCTAGGGACAAGGGTGCGAGGTAACTACATCCCCATCGATGCTATTGTGGAGAATGGCTTTGATAGAGGGAAAAGGAACGCGCGAGGAAACAACAGAGAGGAGATGCAAGGCCAAGCAAGCATGTGTCTGGGGAAAGGGACCTCACGTGATTGCAGCCCTCCTCTGAGAGTAGATAGGCCGTGCCTCGTATGGGCAGGGTGAAGGGGGGATGGGGGAGGGGGAAGGGGCAAGACGGCGCCTGGACGAGGACTCCCAGTACCTATTCCGCAGTCCGTACCTCCGTACACAGTGCACTGCTTAGTGCCTATTGGAAGCCTGATGGGGAAGCCGCCACCGATCAAGCACCAGAAATTGACGTGGTTGATAGCAGCGTTGCACCCATCCTGTTCATCTCCTCCATGAGGTTACATGCACCCAATTTCACCCACTGCTACAGTACTACCCTACCTCAACTACACACAACAGCGTCTCATTCTATGACCACGCGCTCTCTCATATCCCATCGTTGCATTCATCTACAAGCCACTTGCCTCTGGCCTCTGGCCTCCTCTCATCTCGTGCTTGAGTGCCCAGTGACTCGTCGTACTACTACTGTGCCTGACACGAGGTAATAAGGAGGCCTTCTTACTCGTACCTCCCACAGCTCAGGTTGTGTACGGAGTACTCCACCTCCAGGCTCAGTACTGGCACGGCTGAGATGACGGCCGGACACCATAGACCGGATCCTGTACTTGTGACTAACTCAATGAACCGTTGTACTCGTCCCAACTTTTCAACAGCCCAAAGGCATGAATCGGTCGTCGACCAAAATACTACCAATCTTGTGTGTTGCCGTCGTGGCCGAACGTGCACCCACATTGCAACATGACAGGACCAACTCAATCTCAGGCTCGCTTTTTCCACGATGCCCTCTGACTAAACGCTTCCATCGCCCTAAATTCCGCCAGTTGCCGTTGCCGTTGCCAATGAAAGGTTATGACGTGACTCAACCACATCAATGCCATATTATCCAGAGTCTATTGCTCTTTTCCATGTCCTTTCTTCATTCTTGTAGGGCTTCCCTACCAGCAATCGTACATTCCTTTGTTCCTTGATCCTCCCCGCCCTTGTCGTCTACTTCGTGCTTCCCAGCTCACTATCAAAGATGGGTGTACCACAGCCTCGTGTTGTCAAGTTCATCAATGCCCGGCTGCTCCGGAATGGTCATCTGTTGCAAGGCGATCTCTGGATCTCATCCGAGACTGGACGGATCATCAGTCCTCAGTCGGCCTTTTACTCCTCCCACCTGACGGCTGACCAGACAATTGATCTCCAGGGAAAGATCCTGGCCCCGGGCTTCATCGATGTCCAGATCAACGGCTCACACAATTTCGACTTCTCCACGCCGGATGGTGACTTCATTGCCAAGCTGGAGTCCACAAACAGACAAATGATCAAGACAGGTCTCACTTCATATGTCCCCACTGTTATCAGTACAACGCCTGATGCGTATCGTGCTGTGCTACCACACCTTGGTCCTTCTGGAAAGGACCGGGATCCGTCCAAAGGCACAGAGAGCTTAGGTGCCCATATCGAAGGCCCTTTTCTTTCACCACTGCGAAATGGGATTCATAATCCAGAAGTTCTTCAACAGGCTGAGTCGTGGCTTGACATCGAAAGATGCTATGGGGCTTCAAATCTGAAGAATGCTCGGTGTATCACCGCTGCCCCAGAAAGGGGGAACATGATGAGCTTGATTCCTGAGTTCGTTTCGAGAGGCATTGTCTTTTCCGTGGGACATTCGGATGCTACTTTTGAACAAGCCCAGACAGCGGTGGCTGCGGGTGCCTCAATGGTTACACATCTGTTCAACGCTATGCGGCCGTTTGGTCACCGCGACCCCGGAATCTTTGGGCTATTGGGACAATCCACTCCTTCGACTCCCATCGCCACACCCAAGACGAGTCGCCCTGCAAGTGTATCGAATTCCCCACAAGGCTCGCCGAGGTCCTCAAGACGAACCTCACCTCGTTCCAGCCTCAGCATCAGTACCTCCGTATCAGAGCTCGATGATGAGGCACGCTACAAGCAACCCTTCTTTGGCCTGATTGCTGATGGCATCCACTTGTCGGCACAGACTCTCAAGATCGCATACTCAGCACATCCCGATGGCGCCATCATAGTCACTGATGCGCAAAAGTTTGCAGGATGTCCTGATGGGGTCTACGAGTGGAGGGGTGAAGACCGCTTCATCAAAGAAGGGAAATTGCTTCGACTTGAGAGCAATGGTCGGATCGCTGGAAGTGTTGTCGACCTCATCGACTGCGTGAATAACTTCAAACGATACACTGGATGTGGCTCAGCCAAAGCGCTGGAGTGCGTGACGAGTACGCCGGCGAAAATGTTGGGCAAGGACATCGAGTCGAGGAAAGGCGGGTTGGGGGTTGGGATGGACGCTGATCTCGTCGTGCTTGATGAAGGGATTGATGGTGACCTGTCGGTCGTACAGGTATGGAAGTTTGGAGTTCAGGTTGCTTGATACTGAAAATGATGGCTGGTTCCAGACAAGATCTGTTGAAAAGCATTTGGATGATTGGGGCAATAGGTTGATGAATTGGACTTTCTTTGTTCATCCCCGACCAACAGTTGGTCGTTGTGATCTCCATAGAGAGGATATTCTTGATCGAGCATCGGTCTGACGATTGAACGTTGGCGTGATAAGATACCATTAGATCTGTGCAGCAGCTATTAGATACGTGTGTATATTATAATGTATATCATACCTAGATGTTTTTATGTTTAGCGTGTTGTGTTATGTCTACTCTGCTGGGTCAGCCCGTGGGACTGTCTGGTCCGAACTGCATCACATCTTGTCCTAGTAGCAGCCGGAGTACCTGGTACCTCTCAACGATGTGGATCCAGATATGCAGGGTAATAATGGAGTTGTGGACGGGTGGACATCATTGGGTGTGAATTGCCGCCAGCACAGCCCAACCGGGTACTCGTCTGTCTATTCTCGGGTAAGAAGTACAACTTACTCGTACAAGGGTAGTTAGAGACCCAGCAGTGGCACCAACACCCGTCTCCAAGAATCCAAGATCGAAAAGTCCCGTATGAACGGTGTCCCTATTTCACCCGTTCTCCGTACTCTTCCTCGCTGGGGGCTTAAGGAAGCCTTTTCCGTTCTATCTTCGTGGTCAGAGCCTTGCTCTTTGCCATCGACATCCATCGTCACCGTCGTCATCCCAAACACCATGAATCCATCAGATAATTCACGCATCTGCAACGGCCATGTTCGCTGAGCGAGGTTCCAGCACGTGGGGTGTTCCGCTGCGGCGAGGCAATCACGACCATGACAGGAAACGGACTAGCTTCCCCCGCGTTTTTGTTGAGGAATCTGAATCACGCCGCCTCGTTCGTTGCCTTGGGTCTGAGTCCTCACCGTGGACTGCCTTAGACCTCAGACCGACGCCTCCACGTTCCAACTCCGGGTCGGTGAAGCTCGTTTCAGGACGCACTTGACCTGAGGCATTTCCCATCACATCATCATTCCCGACCTCGACTTCGAACAATCGCTCGTCAACAATATCATCCAGGCTGAGTCTACCGACTTTTCATCCCTGACTCACCCGTAGCTCCGTGTCAAGCTGCTCACCTGCTCGTCGCCTCGTGCTCCTCGCAATGACCGTGCGTAGAAAATACACGCCAGAGTAAGCAGAATCACCTCTCCACCAGTCTGCTAGTTTGGCGCCCGCTTACACTTACCAAGGGTCTTGTTGAGCGCCCCTAGGAGGTCTGCAGCTGTTCCCAGCCCAGATGGAAAGCTTGCTCTGTACACGCAATCTCTGTACTCATTTGATACCCATTCCAGGACCAACGAGGTTAACGTCTTGGATCTTGTCAACAACCAGGTCGTGACCATCAGTAAAGACCCCAAGGTCAGTGAGCCCAAGTGGACTGGCTATGGCTACGAAGTCGTCTGGTTGAAGGAATGCGACAACGGAAACACCAGCTTGGTTGTTACCGATGCCTCCCTTCCCGGCAAAGTCTACACAGCCGGCACTGTGCCCGGTCCAGTGTCAGGTCTCAAACTACTTGCCATTGAGACGGGCAAGGTAGCCATCGCCGTGGCAGGCTCTGCCAACCCAGATGGAAGTCTACACAATCCAAAGGACATCCCTAAATCACACAGCTCGGCCCGTGTCTACGACTCACTTTTCGTTCGTCACTGGGACTCCTACGTCACCGACCAACGAAATGCAATCTTTACAGGCCTGCTGCAGAAATCTCAGCCCGTGGTTACTTCGCGCCAAGGAAGGTACAACTTATTGGGTTTTGCCAATGCTCTTCAAGGCACCAAACTGGAGTGCCCAATTCCTCCATTCGGTGGAACTGATCATTTCGACATCGGCCGACATGGTCTGGTCATCGTGTCAAAAGACCCCCATCTTGACCCCGCCACCCATACCAAATGCAATGCTTACTTTATCGCCAAGCAGCATAGTTTGGACGTGACAACTTCAGGTCTTCACAAAATTCATGTACCCGGCCTCAATGGTGCTGCATCTTCGCCTGTCTTCTCTCCAGACGGCTCGTCTTTTGCATTCCTTCAGATGGCCACCGATGGATATGAAAGTGACAGGAATCGGATTGTGTTTGTCCATGGCATTGCGTCTAGTGAAATCATGGCTCGAGAAATCAATTGTCAAAATGAGACTCTCTCACCTTGGGACAGATCTCCTACTACAGTCAAATGGTCCGTAGATGGAAAACATCTACTTCTCGAGGCAGAGGACATTGGGCGCGGATGTCTATTTGCGCTCGACCTGGACGTTGCTGCCCCAGGGCCTAGCTGGCAACCAAGAAAAGTCGCTACTGGAGGCTACATCATCGATTTTGCACCCCTAGCTAACAATTCGAATCTACTTCTTGTATCCAGCAACAGCCTTGTGGACAATAGCACCTACACCATCGTGGACCCATCAGGGGAGTCTCAGCCAACAGTGATTTCATCGCTGTCCCGAAGTGGTTCACTATTTGGCCTTTCTCCCGAACAGGTATCCGAAATTTGGTGGAAGGGTGCCAATGATCATCCCGTACACGCATGGGTGATGAGGCCGTCTTTCTTCAAGGCGGACCAGAAGTACCCGCTTGCCTATCTAATTCATGGCGGACCACAAGGAGCATGGAATGATCAGTGGTCGACGCGTTGGAACCCGGCTGTCTTTGCCGAGCAGGGATATATTGTGGTCTGTCCCAACCCGACCGGCTCGACCGGCTATGGTCAAGCGTTTACGGATGCTATTCGAAATGAATGGGGCGGACTCCCGTATGAAGATCTTGTCAAAGGTTTTGAATACATCGAGTCGGACTTGGACTATGTGGACACAACAAAGGCTGTCGCATTGGGTGCCAGTTACGGAGGGTACATGATGAATTGGTTCCAAGGTCATGACTTGGGCCGCAAATTCAAAGCGATCGTCTGCCATGATGGGGTGTTCAGCATGACGGGGCAGTTGGCGTCCGAGGAACAATATTTCCCCATCCACGACTTGGGTGGACCGATCTGGGAACGACAAGAGATGTACGACAAGTGGGATCCTAGTCGATTTACCAAGTACTGGGAGACGCCGATGCTGGTCATCCACAACGAACTCGATTACCGACTAACAATTTCGGAAGGGTTGTCGGCATTCAATGTGCTGCAAATGAGGAACATCGAAAGTCGCTTCCTCAGCTTCCCAGATGAGAACCACTGGGTGTTGAAGCCGGAGAACAGCCTGGTGTGGCACCTAGTTGTCCTTAATTGGATCAACAAATTCGTCGGATTGCCGAAATTGGCCGACCGACAAGGCAGAGACGGGTCGTCGTTCTGTTGGCAAGGACGGAGGAGACGACAAAACAGCATTCGCGTACCAGGTGCCTCACGCATTGAGCAGTAAAGAAAGGTTGGCAAGGAGCTGGGCGTCAATAAGGAGGGGTTCTTCCCGGGTAAGGGACAGGAATAGGGTGGTCGGATGTAATGGGCAGAGTTTCAAGATCCTTCTTCTATCTACATAGTATACACAAGCTCTCACAGTTGAACTAGCCACTAGGACTGCTAGGAATTCTGATGGTTGCTCATCAACTCCTCTCGCACCAGCTCGGCTAGCTTGGCTTTATCGAGAGCCTTACCACCCAACGGCCCATCGTCTGCCAGTAAATGTTTCATGACCATGCCAGGCTTCAACTGGTCCTGAGTCGCGGAAGACCTCAATGTCTCAATCTCAGACCTCACCACCTGCCTCATTGCAGCGACATCCATCAAGGATATGCTGCTGGCATATTCCTCTATGACGGCCAACTGCTGTTCCTCCTTTTCCTGCAAGTCTGGACGATTGACTCGCTTGGCCTCCGCAGCAGCTTCTTCTGTTGCTGATTTTCGTTTCTTCAACAAAGCCAGGATCTGCATGTCACTATTCACAGGACGATCTCCACTGGCAAGCTGATTGATCTCGGAAATGGTGCCACGGAGGACGGCGAGCCTAGATCTGGACTTCAGCACGGCCAACAGGGCATTCTACATCCGGAACCGACCTTGGAGCATCTTTTGCACGCATAGCAGCCTTGAGATCGGCTTTGATCTTGATCAGCAGTGGTGGAGGGGAGGATGCTTCAGTGGAGGACCATCGCAAACTGGCGAGGGAATTTCGATAGACGCATCGAGTGCAGATGTATTTCGCGGGGTTGAGGAGAAGACTAGGTGCGCGGGTCGAGGCCGTCATTGTACCGGGGGAATCTGCGTGGTGGAAGACCGGGGAGAGCAGCGGTGGGAGGAGTAGGAGGAGTAGGAGGAGTAGGAGGCGTTCTCATGTACTCTACCTAGTACTGTCCTGTACTACGAGCAGCCCATGATTCAATTAATATTGTTTATGACTTCACCTTTTTGCCGAGGGTTCCTGGACTAACCCAAAACGGCCAACGTGTAGAGAGCGCAGTTCGCATCGCAATTCCCCATAGAATTTATTGTCAGTTCACTATCTTTCTCTCTCCAGTCTCCTCCATCCACCAGTTCTCTCTCTCTGCTGCCTCTACAGAGTCTACAGGATACTCATCGCCAGGGAACCAAGGGAATATCCTTTTCCCTTCCCTTCTCTGCCACCTCGGAACGTGGATGCAGTTTTCATAACACCTCCGCCTTGCGCTCTCACGCGAACCAACACCCACTCTCCACACAATCATGGCTACCGTCCTTCCACCTCAGACTCCTGCCAGACCAGTTCCTGGAGTATGGCCTCAGACTCCTGCGGCGCGACCTCAGCAGCCCGCTCCGTCCTTCCACTCTCCCGGAACATCTCTTTCACGCCCCGGCCTGTCGCATTCCTCGTCGTCCACTGCTCTCGCAACCCGACCCTTAGATCTGAGCGTCCAACCCTCGCTAAGACAGCCAGAGGTGCTTGAACCTGCAGAAAGAGCAGCCAGGACCATAAACCAGGCCCTTGCCGACGAATCTAGGTTTCCAGACATCGACAACTATCTCTCCCAAGGTGCATCTGCCGATTACGACATCCAATCTTCCAACACCTGGGCTCCCTTTCAAGAGGCCGGTCACTACAATATTCCAGATGAGGTCTTGGAGCAGTACAACAACGCCCAGCTGTCTACAAGCATGGGCTTGTTTTCTGAGCTGAGACATGCTTGGACTACCATTGATAACGCTCTGTACCTATGGGACTATACCGCTCCCAGACCTGAATTGCTGGGCTTCGAAGGGCAGCACCATGCCATCACTAGTGTTGCGCTGGCTGTCCCCCGACCTGGTGTTTTCCTGCCCAATATTAAACATGTCATCATCCTTGCTACCACCGCTGATGTGTCACTATTGGGACTTGGCCCAGATCCAAGTCCTGGCGCATCAACAGATCTATGTCTCTTTCAAACTGGCATGTCTACTTCTGTCAAGGGCCTAGATATCACCGTTATCGCCAGCTCCACAAAAACCGGCCGGATATTCTTTGGAGGTCGCACTGAAAACGAACTCTATGAGCTTCTCTACAACCAAGAAGATGGATGGTTTTCTAGTCGCTGTTCAAAGACTTGTCGAACCGCTGGCACCGGCAAAGCTCTAGGCTTCTCCTTGCCTGGCTTCACTGGTAGTCACAGCGAACATGTCGAACAAATAGTGGTTGATGATAGCCGCGATCTATTGTACACCTTGTCCTCCAAATCTAACATTCGAGTCTTCGGTATGAAGGCTGATGGATCGTTGCCTTTGCTCATCACTAAGGCTGCCGGCGAGATTTACTCTAATATTGGTCATATAATTAGCGCCAACCAGACTCTCAATCCCGAGGTCAAGATTGTGTCCATCTCCGCCATCCCCGCTGCAGAAGGCACGAAATATCATCTTTTGGCCACAACGGCAACTGGATATCGAATATATCTTAGTGCAACAAGCTCCGGCTACCAGTGGAACGGCAGATCCGGTGTGCCTCAAAGTATGCAGGCTCAACATGTCAAAGTCCCACCTCGGACAACATCTCCAGGTACGGTATCGGCTCAAGACAACTCTCAATCACAATCATACCTAGGTTACCCTATCGAAACTCTGCAAGGAGCTAGGCTAGCTGCAAGATACCCCCCTGGATATTTCTTTTGCCTTGGTCCAAATCCTAGTCATCCAGCATACGACCAGCTGTTCGTGTCCTCGCCTGATGCTGCTAGATTAGCCAAACCCTTGGAAGCTGGACAGCCCAGCCGGACCGCCGAATCTGCCATTTGGCTTTCCCTTGGAGGAAGCCGCGCCGAGGATATTGGTCTCGTGGTTCCGTATTCTGCTCCAACCTCAACACCAGTTGGGTACGGAAATGACCTGGCTGTTCAATTTGATAAGCCTGTTCCCGAAATTGCCATTTTGACAAACAACGGTGTTCACGTCATTAGAAGGCGCCGATTGGTAGATATTTTTGCTGCACTTGCACGAGAGGGTGGCGGACCCGATGGATTCCAGACTGAAGTCAACAACCTAATTCGAGCCTACGGAAGAACGGAGACATTGGCAACTGCTCTTGCAGTGGCTTGTGGTCAAGGAGCCGAGGTAACCAAAAATGCCGACTCGATACGGGTTAATGACCCTGAGGTGCTCGACCTTGCCCGGAAAACTTTCATTGAATATGGTGGTAAACCCACTATCAATCAAAATTCGATTTCCGACAAATCTGTCCCACTCATCGATGCTGTAAGGCCATCACCTCGGCATGCAGCTATCGGGTTGTATCTGTCTCGCCTGTTGAGGTCGACCTGGAAGACCATCATCGCTGTGGAAGCTACTACGCCTGCTGGCCTTCAGATTACTTCTGCTGTTCCTGCAAAGACAATCCGAGATGTGCAGGAAGCGCTCTCTTCGTTACAGAGATTCTTCAAGACCAACAAGACATTCATCAAAGGGCTTAGTGGGCCTGATGATCTTTCAAGTACGAGCACCAAAGATGATGAGATTGCCCTCAAGGGTGAACATCGAGCTTTGCATTCGCTGGTCAAGTTCACTTCAGACACCATCGAGGGGTTGTCCTTTGTTTTGGTCCTATTCGAGGAAAAGGTAGCCGAAATAACGGCGCTTCTACCTGAAGCATCACGAGCAGATTTTTTGAAGTTGACCTTCGAAGAGCTCTTTACGACTAAAAAGGGCTATGAGTTGGCGAAGGAACTGGTCAAGGCTATTGTTAATCGCAATATCGACAAAGGTTCCAATGTTGAGACTGTTGCAGAAGCTCTTCGAAGGAAATGTGGAAGTTTCTGCAGTTCTGACGATGTGGTCATCTTCAAAGCACAGGAGCAGCTCAAGCGGGCGGCCGAGGCAGCCGCTAATGTCGACTTCTCACGCAATCTCTTGAACGATAGCCTGAAGCTTTTTGAGAAAGTTGCCCACAGTCTACCCGCTGACTATCTACAGTCTGCAGTGAAGCAGTACACGTCGTTGCAGTTCTACGGTGGGGCCATTGAACTTGTGCTCAAGGTGGCAGAAGAAAAAGATAAAGCCAATGATGCCTTATCTTGGATGGCCGAGGGCAAGCCAGAGTCAGATTCGCGGAAAGCCAAATTTGACTTACGGAGTCAGTGTTATGATCTTATCCACGATGTTGTCACTGCGGTTGATCAAGTCAGCGAGAAAAGTCCGAGCTTTGTGGATGGTCGGCCTACTCTGGTTGCCACAAGAAGAAATGAAGCTTACGATGTCATCGGTCGGTCTCGAGATGAAGCATTCTTGACCAATCTCTACGACTGGTATTTACAGCAGGGCTGGTACGATAGACTTCTGGCGACTGATTCACCGTTCATCCCCACCTATCTACAACGAAAATCATCCGAAGACATGAGGTATGCAGACCTTTTATGGAAGTATTACGGCCAGACCGGACAATTCACGGAAGCAGCAAAGATTCAATTATCACTTGCCAAAAGTGGCTTCAAGTTGTCATTGGAAAGAAGGATAGAATACCTGAGCAGAGCTAGAGCAAATGCTTCAACTTACACTCCAGGTGCGAATCGCAGAACAAAGCAGCAGTTGTTGCAAGACATTTCCGAGAGTTTAGATTGTGCAATGATCCAAGATGAACTGCTTCAGCGGCTCAAGGAGGATTCCCGGCTAACCCAAGATAAAAGGAGGGAGGTACTTGACTCCTTGGACGGCGAGATTCTGCCGATCAATGAACTCTTCAACAACTATGCTGACAACGCTGGCTATTATGATATCTGCATTTTGATCTATCAAGTGGCCGATTACCGAGATGCAGCTCAGATCAAAGGGACGTGGCAACAGCAGATCGAGCTTGTTCATAATAAGACCGTCAGTGAAGGCGAATGTCAGCCCTACGAAGCCGTGGGTGTCATGGTGCAGAGCATGGGTGGTAAATTACGGTTGTCAGAGACAACCTTTCCCGTCGACATCCTCCTGCCCATGTTGATGACCTATTGGTTTCACAGTCAGCGAGAGGTGACGGGTCCTCGATGGGTGACGGACATCTTCCTCGAGCTGGAAGTTCCGTACGAACGGCTATTCGAAGTTTTGGAAAACATGTTTTTTACCACGACGGAACCGCCATTCATCGGTTCCAATAGGAAGTTCCTTGCCTCGGAGATTGCTTACGTCGTCGCCAAGTGGTACCATGAATCAGAACGAGCCGGCGCCCATGTATTTGGCAGTGAAGCTGGTGCCGCTCGGGTGAAGGAGGCATTGGAGGCTCTCTTGCATGAAGGTAAAGCAGCCGGTCTGGATGAAGAGACCACCTCGACATGTCGTGCGGTGATCGCCAGACTGCGCGAGCTCTCACTCTAAGCAATGGGACAAATGGACGAGGATTGAATCGGATCGGTCGTTCTTAGGGGAGCACCAAGATGTCATGATAGTTCTACTTAGATAGGTCTCTTTTTGTCCTGTTGCATTCTGCTGCATTTAGCGTTTCTTGGTAGAGAAGGTTTGGTTGGTCCCTCTCACATACACATCTGGTCCCTCTTGGGGAGAGGAAAGTTTTCGAGTGGTATGGGACGAGTGGGAAAAAAAAGATGCGAACAAAAGAAGCTATCGGGCCTTTCTCTGATATGTAGAAGGGCACCTGGCATGAGCTATTATCGCCAAACAACTACTTGTCATTTAGTTGGCAATGGACTGCTGCTAGATATAATAGGTATTGTGGGCGCCAGTGTCAAGCGGAACGGTCGTGAAGGATAGTAGTAGTCAACAGATGCTCGAACCCGGCTCAGGTTGTTAATATATTATAATGATCAAGCTGCGGGCCTCGTATCCGCGTTACCGTTGTCCCAAACCGGAATAAATCCATGGTATTAATTGATGATACTACCCAATATTTCCAAAGTCCACCACTATGAACAGACAATCTCCGCGCAAGCCCCTGAAACCCAGATGTAGTTACCTCTTTTGTCCCACGTAGCCTCGCCACCGCTTTTTACCTTTCCTCGCTCCTCCGGGGATTTACTTCAAGTTACTATTCCTATCACAGATTTTGTTTCGCAAGTCTTCGCCTCGTATACAGTACAGCCCGCCGAATCGCCATACTGAATCCTCTCCACACTCGAGAAGAGGAGGGCATCCCCCTTCCCCGGCGTTGACTGCCAATATCCATTCGTACCTTCACCGCCATCCCTCACGCAGTACATATCTCCATCGACTAATACTAACCCGAAAAGCCGAGAACAATGGCCAAACCGACCCGCACCACCCTTCCTGCGGCCGGCGCCCAGCAGCATCGGCGAGGTGCGCCGCTCTCGAGCCGCAAGATGGACATGCTGTACCTCGTTTTCTTCGCCATTCATGTTCCCGTCATGCTGTGTAAGTTCCAATCGAGTTGCCCACCGTATTGTATTTCTTCTTTTTTCAGGGCCAGGGTCGGGGGGTTCTTTGCTTTTTTTCGTTGATGGCTTGAGAGTGAGCAGGAGGCCTGGTGACGGGAGATTGAATGTGTGTGTGTGTGTGTGTGTGTGTGTGTGTGTGTGTGTGTGTGTGTGTGTGTGTGTGTGTGTGTGTG